TTCTGACTCCTATATCCATAAAAGTTAAAGTTTGCTTGCTACTTGAACGGTCCGTCCCTGTGCAGCATGATCTTGATAACCATCAATTTGGCCTAGTTTAAGGTTGTACGTAAGATTTTTCCTAATAGACATTTCATCAAAAGCTAACATGCACAAATTCTCTTCCACAGTTCTTTTTTCTGTTTCGTCTTTAATAGTATGAACTATTTTTTCCATTAATTCCACACTTCATTGGTATTTTATTGAGTAAAGAATTAAGTGAGCTAATGCTGGGTAATAAAATGGATTTTTTATATATGCGCAAAGCCAAAACTTTACCATCCAATGTCCACCTCCGTCTCGCTAGCTTTCTTGAGTTATTTTTTTGCTGGCTTTGCAGTAAAAAATATGATGAGTAACTCAATTCACTTTTAATAATATTATTAACTGCACTATTTGATTTTAAGAAGTAATCAAATTTCTATTTTGCTTATTAACTTTTGAGAATATTTTTCTCAGTCTTAAGATTTCAGTTAAATTTCTACTGCATCTTTTATACAATTTTTGGTCTTTGGGTTATGGTCTGTTGGAATGGTGTTGCACGGAAGATGATCATCCGTTGCCGGAATAATAGTTTTTACACTCAATTTCGTAATTGTATATTGATTACACCAATGAAAGACACATAGAAAATAGAAGGCGATAAACGAGAAAAGCACAGCACAGTAGAAGTTTATAGCGGAAAGACACGTATATAGTTCAAGAAGAAACACAAGCAATGAGAATAATAATGTTCTTAAACTATGATGTATACTTATCGCGTTCGCAACAAGGTAGCAGAGCGGCGGCGTAAGGGCAGGCGACATGCGCTTCGCGTCCGATGGATAGATTGCGACTGGTGGCGCGATGCGTCGGCGCTGCTGGCCGGCCCGTTAATTGTTTCAAATATTTAAATCCTCCATGTAACGGACAGCCAGCGGGCGCGTTCCGTATTATATAAAATACTATAAACAAATATATATTGTGTGTAATATAAGTAATTATATAATATAAATTATGTAAAGATATATTTAATTACAAATGGAAGAAAGTTAAATATAAAATATTATAATAAGATAAATAAATGATTTGTGAATATATAAAATAAAATATGTAAATATATAACAGAAATATGTGAGTCGGCATTGGGTGTTAAGACGGCTAAGTTTTTACATCAATTTCCTTTATAATCCCATGATTTTTGTGAGATTCCTGTAAACAAAAAAACTATGCAAAAAAAAAATAACAAGTTCAATTGAGTATGGTGCAACATTTTTCATCTTATTATTTCAATGTAGATAATTGTGAGAAAAGAAAACAGCTTAAAGAAACTATGGTTGCCCTACCGGGTTATTAATTCAAACACGGTACTGGACACTCATTAATTATATTGTTACAAAGTTATAGATGCACGTTAACAAACGACGAATAAATTGTTTAGGAATATATAGCACAGAAGTTAGCAAAGCAAAGGCGACAGAAAAGAATACTTAAACAGACAAAAAAATTTTTATGAGATTATTAACCACCCCCGTAAGTTGGCATTACTAATGAAAGCAAGGTTCTACCCGATAGATGGTGCTTTTCGGATGTATACGTATTTGGCGATTATAATTCATACTTACAGGTAAATGTAAATAACCCGTTCTTATTCCAATCAATTTACTATAAAAATCCACCAACTGTAAAGAACTATTTTAATAGTCAATGAAATCATACATTTTTTCAGTGTGGTAGCATGCGCTTTATATTTATTCAAAATAGAAAAATTACAACATATTTCGATATTAAATTTAATTACATCAGGTAATAATCGAGACTCCGGTGATTCCTGTATGCATCTAGAAATCAAACGGAACATAGCTTTCATAACTTCTAAAATTTCACTAAAGTACAAAGACGACATAAAACCCCGTATTCAATACTAGGTGGCGTTAGATGAACTGCTGTGGAACTATAGTCTCGAAAACCGGGTACATTCGCGAACTTTCCGGAATCACGATCATGTTCGCGCATGTCGGTTACGTTCCAGGAAGGAACTTTCTGGATTGGTCTGGTACTCGTCTTGACCCATATAAAAAGCCGCAGGGAGGCGAGCGAGACAGTTCAGTTTGAGCTACCTTCGAGGCGACTTCGGAGTGAAAACTAGTGATCAAGAGCGATACCAGTGAAACCTACGACTTGGCTACAACCTAGGACATCGTTAGTGCTTAGTGTTTGGACCTAATGCTATTGAATAAAGTCTTCAAAAGAGTCAGCAGGTGTTTCTCTCCAAATCCTTCGAACCCCTAACACGTAACAATATTTTTTTGTTTCCAGGCTAATTAAATCGCCAATTATCTTTTGACTAGCTTCAGTAGGAGTCTCTAATTCTTCCATTAATATTATTTATTAATAAAGTTTTATATGCATTGATGAACTGATCACAAGTTGGATTAACATTGCGTATCCCATTACTACGTACTTTACAAAAAAGATTTCGAGTGGATCTTGATTTAAATTTCCTCGTTAAAATGCTCGTTATTTTATAATGTTCATTTATAAATGACCACATCTCTTTAAATGTATTTATATTAGATATAAAATTTGTCACTGATGGAATTTTTACATATTTCATGGTTCCATCTTTTTTTTTTAGTTTAAAAAACCCATAGATCAAAGAGTAGGCAATACTTGCTCCCAAAATATAAAGTGGAGAACCAGTTTTAAAGCATGTTCTAAATTTTTTACCTTCTTCCTTATAGCTGTGTCCATTAAATGAATCAAATAATCGATCTATTAAATATAATAGATCTGCTGTATCATTGCATTCATTGGGTAGAACTCCATGTCCTTTAAAAAGATAAATGTATGTTACAATGTTATCTACTAAAGCATCCTAATAAATTAAAGATTATTTATTAATTCCCATTATAACACAATATGCCAGAAATATAATGAATTGAGAAAAAGTTAGTTTTATTTTAAGGTGAACTTCAAAAATTTGATTATAATTTTAATGTAAAGTATTTATCAGTGTATTAAATAAGGTTCATCTCAAAAGTACAAATTCTATAATTTCTTTATGGAAATTATTGTAATAGAGACCAGGTGCCAATGACACTTCGTCAAAGATAAGACTGCAAAGCCTTTTTTCAGTTGACAACACTCTTTTGTCATCTGGTTCAGGAACGGTTCTAAAGACTTGTCTCCCTCTAAGTAGACTGACACCACCCTATGGCATGAAATGTGCGGAATGCCATTAAATAAAACTCACAAATGTGCTCACTATTAATTGTATTTACATCAGAAGAACTTTAGATATGTTCACAATATTTTCACCCTTAAAATAATGTTATTGTTAACAAAGCAAATAGACCGTTCTGTTCTCAGCGGCGATTCTCGAGGCAGAGGTAACTCCCCGGTCGCCGACCAATCAGAGGCGACTCGTTTGCAAACCGCGAGTCGCGCGCTTTTGCGCGCTAAATTTAAAATAGGCGCGGCGGTTGTTTTCATCCGCCCCAAACCCTATCTCCCAGGCCCCGGCGGTTCTCAACTTTGCCACAGCTACGTTTTATGTGGTGAGTTCCGGGTACTGGGAGACGTTGATGTCGTCATCGAACAGCACAATGGCGTCCTTTACCACTTTTTCAGCTGTTGTATCTCTACTCCATTGTACTCTTCTAATCCCGCGGTAATGCTTTATTTTAACGGTATTGCCGGTTCCTGAACCATGGCAAAGGTTAACTTCTTGTTTGCCGCCTCTGTTATAAGTTCGGCCGTTGCTAATTCGCTTCTTTGGAGGTTTACTTGGACGATGCGGTACCCGATGGTGCCGGCTGGGTTCTTCGAATCCCCTGGGACAACTTTAGCAATAAGCTAAGGCTGATCTCACCAGGGTATTCCATTTTCTCCGAACCGGACACTCAACGGCAGTACCTGCCGTCCTACTCCCCAAAATCGATTCGAATTTGATTTTGTTTTCGATTCGAACTCGATTTGAAATGGTTACTCCCGAACCGAATCGAAACTAGAAACAAGATCGTCCGTTATCAAATCCGTTAACTGTATCCGGCCTATTACGTCGCAGACAAATGTTCCATGTATACGCTTATAACATCTTTTTTACATAAAATTTTAATTGCGTAATTTTTTTCTTGCATAAAAAACAACGTGCTGATTATTTATTAATATATATCAATTTACAAAAGTGCATATTAGTATTAGATTGCGCGAGTTAAGTTTTTTTTAGACAGTTTTTATTTAATCTGTGCGATGAACTGTCGAAGAGCAGGGATGCCAGCTTAGGAATTTTCTTCCTAAATTTAGGAATAAAATATGTAGAATGGAAGTTTTTTGGGAGGTAAATTTTTATCGGAATATATTTAGTAGTTAAATTTTATTCACATTTTTAAAAAAGAATTCACAAAAGTACTTATTTTGAAAAAAATATATTTAATACTACTGTGCTGCTTTGGTGGACGTCAGGCCAAGGCCTATCTGTCTTTTATGTATGTATGTATTTTATGTATTCTAATGATTAATATTTTTTTAATAATGTTTTGATTTTATTGTTGACATATTCATTTCTAAAGTAATATAAAAAGGAATTATATTACATTTAATTTTTTTGACATTTTGAATGAAATAGTTAATTTTATCAGATAATTATTTTGCCTTGGTAATATAAAAAAATCGTGAAAATTTAGTTAATTTTAATGGGTTTTCGAATTGCTTTAGGATTATTATTTTTGAACAGTTGGTCAAACTCGAAGAGAATTCTTAGTTTGCTTGGCCCTTGGCGTCAAATTCAAAAGTTGTTGCTTTACGACGTCTATTAAATATTTTCCACATCTTTTTAATTGAAGTGAACTTAGAATTTTGTTTTAAGGTAAGTTAACTTACTACTGTATGATTTTAGAGCGCATATAGATATAAAAGAAATATAACTTAATAAATAAAAATTAATATGGTCGTAATAAATACTTTCAAAAAATTAAATAATGGCCCGTCCATCGCACATTCAAATGGAAAAGTTGGTACAATTTCTAGAAGAAAATCCAGAAATTGCTAAAGGGCATTTACGTTCTTGGCGGGAAGAAGTCGCGATGGTACTCAATTCCCTGGGTGGCGTAACAAAAAACGCCAAGTCGTGGGCTAAAGTAAGTCAGTTTCACTAAGCACTTGAGATTATTGTTTATGTTAACAACCCTTGACCAATGAAATGGATAGCCTTATTTAGTCAAATATAAAAGTGAATGCATTTTTATATTTCATCACTTGTAACGCACTTAACTTTTTTTATAGTTTTGGGCCGATAAAAAATACGCCCTTCAAAAATTGGTTGCGCAACGGAACGCTTCATCGTCTCGTACTGGTGGAGGGTAGAGAAAATACCACCACTTTCAGAGTTGTAAGAAAGACTTGTTTTCTTAATGGGAGGGTCTAGCTTTGCATAAGGTGATCAAGATTTGAGGGTCCCATTAAATATTCCTGTAGTAAGTTTTAACATATTTTGTGATATAAATATGAAATAATGAATTTATACTTCATTGGATTTATATATCTTTACTAATTATTAGATACCAGATGACCAATTACCAAACCCTAATGATGAAAGTCAGGTGGTAATTGTAATTAAGGAAGAACTCGCATCATCCTCACAAGCTAAACCACCGCTAACTCGTGAAGCATCACTTCCTTCCAGTAAGTTTACTAAGCTCAAGAAAATTTTACTCTGATAATAATTTTTGACCCATTGATATTATACTTTTCATGTATATTGTCTTACATAATCAGTTCTTATAATTACAACTCCAAAGCGTAGCCCACGAAAGACCAGGCGCGTACATCAGAGCCAATTAAGTTTAGAGCGACAAAGGCTCATAAGAATAGAAGAGAAGAGACTAGAAGCTGACTGACTACTGCTGCTGGTTGGGGAAACTTAGTGTTATCTATTAATAACTTAGCAAATGCAGTAACCACCTGTGGTAACACAATTGCAGAAGTTATGAAACAATGATTTACCCAAGCAAGAAAAGTAGCCAAGTTTGTTTAACAGTTTTAGTCTTAATTTATAAATATTTTAGTTATTTTATACATTATAATAATGAATGTTTTATATGTAATATAATATATATTTTGTTAATCAAGCATAGAACCTTATTTGGCTAATAAATTAATAATAAAAAAAAATTATCTTTGTAACCTATTCCGCCACAGGGTATGTATAAGGTGTTGTCGTGCTACTTGCCCCCTTTGCAATTCATTATTTTGCAATGGTAATGAAGATGTCTGCTGGACCTCATTGCCTACATCATCTCTATTTAATTCAAGGGCAACATTATTTATATCTGGTGGAGGGCAGTTATGGAGATTGCAAAAGTTATGCAGTATGCAACATGCATTAATTATTTTAGCTACAGTGTGTGCATCATAGTGTAGGACCCTGTGTCGGAGTAAATACCTCCATCTAGCTTTTACAATTCCTATTGTTCGCTCGATTGTATTTCTGGCTGAACAGTGGCTTTTTGTATAAAACTCTTGAGCAGATCCAGTTTCTGCATTAATAATAGGTGTCATCATATATTCCCGCTAGGCATAACCAGAATCATCTATAAGTATAATCCAGTTTAGTATTTTTTGTATACAGACTATATAAATTTTGGAAAAAAATTGTTGGATACCAATTGTAATTTGTGGGATATGTTACCTAATAAATATATAGTTTCCCCTCTATTTATTAATTCTAATAAATGTGCTTTAACTGGATGCTGATTAAAAATAAAAGAAACGTGGGTTGCAAATGATGCATCAACACTTAAAATATTCATATCACTGTCACATATCTGCAATAAATAAAATAAGAATGAAATCAAACAATAGTATAAAGTAAGCAAATAATATTACAAAATATTAAAATAACTGCATATACCTTCAAATAGTAATTAAATATTGAAAATAACTTACAATTTGCACATTTCGGGAATGATAATGCTTTCTATAAAAGTATCTCTCCTCATTCTGCTTCGGTCGAATTAAAGCCACATATGTTCCATGAATGCAACCAATCACAGCAGGAATGTGAAACTTTTCATAAAATCTATAATGAAAAAGAAGTAATAATTGTTTTATGACTCCCTAATAGTTTGTGCTTTATATCTCACTGTTAGCTTACTAACAGTCAATTATGATTCAATGTTATTTTAGTCAATTATGAGCTATGTATTGCTGTTTCCTTAAATAGTTTCCTTTCAGTCACAAGACATATTTAATGTAAATTTACTACATGCTACCTAATAAATTGGATCTACTTACTTTCTTTTAATAACATTTCTTTCTTCAACATTTTGAGGAAACTTTATGTATTTTTTCAACAATTCTTCATTATTTAAAGCTTTGGTAACATCTTTTATAGCTTTAGACACAGATTGTTGAGACATTACTGTGCCATTACTTCTTCCTACTATTCTTTGATAGCTTCCAGTAGCATAGAAAGATAAAGCAATTAATTTCAGAAAAAACATATAAAACACATTTTTTTAAATTGCCATTGTTAGGCACTAACAAAAAATTAATGGGCAATACGTTTTAAAAAAAGACGGAGGCCTGCGGCTTTGTGCGGATTATTCAGTTACCATCAATAAGCAATTAATTTTAGAAAAATATCCGCTGCCGACAGTTAAAGATTTGTTCACTAAACTTAACAGCGGCATTCAATTTAGTAAATTAGACTTATCAATGGCATACAATCATTTTTTTTAAACAATTCATCACAGAGCCTTACGTGCATAAATACATATCGCGGACTATTTAAGTATACAAGGCTCGTGTTTGGGTTGTCGTCAGCGCCAGCCATTTTTCAACGAGCGATGGAGGGTATTTTAGCTGGATTAGACGGCGTTATATTTTTTCTCGACGACGTATTAGTTACGGGCGAAAATAGGCAGCAGCATATTCAACGTTTGGCAGCGGTATTACAACGTTTAGAGGATGCAGGTTTAACGGTTAAAGCTTCTAAATGTGAATTTTTTAAGGATGAAATTTGCTACCTAGGTCATATAATCGACAAAAATGGGGTAAGGAAATCGCCAGACAAAGTTGAAGCTATTTTAAAAATTTCAAGACCTCAAAACATTAAACAACTTCAGTCGTTAAAAAATTTCTCGTGGTATAAAATTTCGATAATAATTTGTTAATCCCAACAAATTATTATCGAAATTTTATACCACAAGCTGCATCAATCCTATATCCTTTGTATAAATTATTGCATAAAAATGTAAAATGGGACTGGACGCCAACACATGACGAATCTTTTAATAAAATAAAAAACATCATGGCCACTGATGGCTATTTGGCCCATTTTGATTCCGACGCGGAATTAATATTAACCGTGGACGCGTCACCCTTGGGCTTAGGTGCCGTTTTATCACAAATCGTCAAAGACGGTGTCGAAAGACCGGTATCATATGCGTCGAGGACACTTAACGTAGCTGAAAAAAAAAATACGCCCAAATTCAAAAAGAAGCGACCGCTATAATATTCGGAGTCCGACGGTTTCATCAATACTTGTATGGCAGATCGGTTCCGTTCATATTGAGAACAGATCACAAACAACTCCTCACAATTTTCGGTCCATATCGAGGTATTCCCGAAATATCCGCAAACCGACTTCAACGTTATGCAATATTCTTATCGGCATACAATTATCGCATCGAATATGTTAAGAGTAGTGATAACAGTGCAGATTGTTTGTCGCGAGCGAGTTTCGAGGTGAATGCGACCCTTGATGCACCATATTCACGAGAGTTAGATCGCATCGAGGATGAGAAGGTCGTTGAGGATCCGGCTGCGTACGTAAATTTCGTGGTAGACGGTAGCCTGCCAGTGACCGCGAATGACTTGCGACGAGAAACCGACAACGATACTATTCTTAGCAAAGTAAAATATTTTATACTTAACGGTTGGCCTAAAAGCGTTAAGGATGTGCAACTTAAACCATACTTTAACATAAGATTCCAATTATCGTACGAAAACGGTCTTTTAATGCGAGGCCACAAGATAATTATACCGGATTCGTTACATGAAACTATATGTAAAGAGTTGCACTGTTCGCATTTCGGCGTCGTTAAAATGAAAGCCGAGGCGCGCAGACGGTTGTGGTTCCCCGGTGTGGACAATGCGCTCGAGAGGCTGGCAGCCGCGTGCACCGTGTGCGCAGCGCTGCGACCTCTTCCGCCGCACGCACCCCTCGCCCCCTGGCCCTACCCGCCTCAGCCGTTCTATCGCATTCACCTAGACTTCCTAGGACCGTTTAACAATCAAATGTTTTTAATAATTGTTGACGCCTACAGTAAATGGGTAGAGTGCTATACAATGTCGAATTCATATGGAATCAGAGCGGTTATCGAGAGGCTATATGATTTTATGGCACGTGTAGGAATACCCCATACATTAGTAACTGACAATGGCACTTCGTTCACTTCTCAAGATTTAAAGAATTTTGTTTAGCAAATGTTATAAACCATGTATTTTCTCCTACATCACCCTGCTAGCAACGGTCAGGCCGAAAGTTTCGTTAAAATTATAAAAAAAAAGTAAAATGGTGTCGTGGGACACCAGGTAGGAACGAAGTTCCTTCGGCTAATGTAGAATCGACACAAATTGCAAAAAAAAATCGTGCTCAATTTTATGTAGGTTTACTTGATTTTTCTCTTAAATTTTACAAGAAAGTATTTAGGAAATTCAGTATTTTAGGAAATAATTAATTACTTAAAATAAAAAAACATCGTAATTCAAATTATCAACTAAAATAACAAAATTATACACTACTCGCTTGTGTATGCGACTGTCGCGCCTGCGCACGTCTCATTTAACGGTTTTATTCCACGCACTTTTTTCCACGGATTTTTTCTTACGGTTTTAGTATCACATTTTTTTCAGTTCGGTCGCGCAGCAAAATCCCTATCCCCTCCAAGCCTGCCGTAAGGAACTTCGTTCCAAAAAGGTCTTAAAACAATAATATTAACTCACACAAAAAACAAAATGCTACAACAGTATATTTCAAAATTTTTATTTGACTCTAGGAATTCTAAAAAAAGTACCACTAATAAATCGCCAGCGGAGTTAGTATACGGCCAGCCATTACGCTCGAGACTAGATCTAATTTTACCAACAGAAAAAAAGTCGCCTCCCTCATCCTCAGACCTTATTCAAACGGTAGCACAAAAACAGTACTTACAGGCTAAAAACTGTAAAGGAACTCCAAGAAACGAATTTAAAATAAATGATCTAGTATGGATAACGAAATATACAGATAATAAAAAGTTTCATTGGGTTCAAGGAATAGTTAGGAACAGACTTAGTAAAGTAATGTATACAGTTTTTGTGCCACAGCATAACTGTGAGATGACGCGGCATGTGGACCAAATTAGAGCTCCTACACCCGCATGTGAGCCCAAAAACCTGAAGGTTGGAGTCCCGATGTCGTCCCCGACATCCAATCAAGCGCTCAGGGCAGTAATGATTGCGAATTCTCGGAGAGGCTTAATGTATCGTCGCCCGCACAAGCTGACCCGGGGGAAAAGGAGAATGAGGAAATCGCTAGCCCGGCCCTGGATTTGAACCTCGCGACATCTCCTGTGGTGCCCGTCCCGCGCAGGCGCGAGCTGACACCGATCCGCTCCGACTCGCCCGGCGAATGTGACGATGATAGTGATGAACTTAACCAACCAAACTCATTCCTAAGCCTTAAAAGATTTTTTTAGTTTATGTTATCTCGATTTTGCTTTTCATTTGTTAATTATTCAGTTTGTTCTTCCGTATTGTTACTATGGCTAAAAGGTGGAGGGAATGTTATGTATATGAGGGTACATAATTATGTATTACGCGAGGCGCTGACCGCCCCGTAGTTTGCTTGCATCTCTAAATACATAACAGACTCCTTGTGTATTCTGCCAATAAATTGTGTGTTAATTCCCTCCACATTAACTAGCAGGTGTTCCGGAGGTCTAAGCTCTCTAGAACACTTAATTCTTGGGTCGATTGTTTTAAAGTAGAAATAACGAGGGTAAAAGGGTTGTTGGGAGGGATTGAATTGTCCATTCATGTAGTTTGAGTGTTCAATTTTATAGTGTCTCAGCATGTTGCGACTAGTATAGAATGCACCGCATAATAAACACAAGGGAGGGTCCCTTGCCCCTGTGAGATGAAGGTCTGCTGTTGTTGGAGGAGCTGTGTGAACTTTGTGAGCTGCTGTTGGTTCCTGCTGTGGTGCTGGTGCAGGTTATTACATTTCCAGTGCGCCCAGAGACGTTCCAAAAGGTCGGTCCTCCAATAGATCCTTGGACGCAGCCCTTAGTGGTTGTCTTTCCAAATCTCGCTCTGGCGTAGTTCACAACAACTTATCTGTCTGTTATGTACGAGCAGACCATTTTATAAAGGTTGTTTGGGCACTTTTTCTTGGCTAGTTGTAGTTTGAGCGCGGGCCGCCATGCGTTATCGAAGGCGCCCTCTATGTCCAGTGAAACAACCTTTTGAACAACGTGATCTTTTTGAGATCTACTTGCTGCCTAATATGCGTCACCAGATCGTAGAGCGCGTCCTCGGTTCCGCGCTGAGGCATGAACCCGTACTGTCTTGAGTTTAGAGTTGGCATGACGTACCATTAGAATCGGCACACCATTAATAGTTTAGTTTAGTTAGTTCACCATTAATAGGTTTTTTTGGGTCTGTCGATGACACTATAAGCGTATGGTTGGGTTTTGGAGATGGTGGAGTGGCCGCCACTCTGGCGTTTCAGAAGGCTTCGGTTTGCCTTCAGGCTTGGTGGCTATTCCCTTTTCCGTCGCCAGGTTGACGGCCGTGTGATCCGAAGATCTATTCCGGTGTTCCCTTAACGTCCTAAGCTCCGAGCACATTATTTCTATTTTTTCCTGAAGGGGATTAATTTTCCTGTTCAGCACTTCCTCATTTATGGAAGCTGCTGTGGGATCGATGGCTTGTTGTTGTTTTGCCTGATCTTTTACTTCCTCCACTAGCTTCCTGAGGTTTGCAATTTCAGTACTCATTATGCCGTCATTAGTTGGGGAAGACAGTTTCCATTATTGATTCGGCTGTTGCCAGGATCCTATCGTCTAACATAACCTTGGTGCACCGGGCTGTCACAACTATATGGTCACCTGGCGGAGTCGCAAATACCGGTTTGTGTCTTATCTCCGTTTCTTTCTCCATGATAGGCACAAAACCAGCAGACTCGCAGTATGCCACCATGTAGTTATCAGCCATTTTACCACATACGACATTGGATGTTTTGTTGTCGTATATGGCAGCTTCAGCCTCCGCAAGTTTAACCCTTAGCGATTCCTCGACTCCTAGATGGAATGTGTGCAAAATATCCTTGCACTTTGCGAGGTTCGCTTGTGTTGTTGCTTTTATTAGGGCTATGTACTCTAGGAAGGCGTTCAGCATGTGATCTCTTGGTCCTGTTGGTTGTTTTAGAGGTGGTGGATGTATATTTATTTTCAGATTATGTTGCTTACATAATCTCTTAAATAAATCTTAACTCTACTGTTCATTATTCTAATTTTGTTGCATCTAAGTTGCTTTCTCTCTATACTTATAATATACACTTTTATATCTAACTTTATTTGCTTATTTCTACTTGTCAACAAAATTGTTGAAATATACCATAAGGTATATTTACAATTTTACTTACTTACTACTTGACTATTGTTATTACTTATGTTTAAATTCTATTATTTCTACTATTTGCTATGTTATACTTTTACTTACTAGATACAATTTTTATTTTACCCTTCGTACTATCTACGTATTACTTGTTCGATTTCCGAGTCTCCTTTTTATCTGCACATGCGGATTTAGCTGGCTATCCTTGTGAACCGGGTTTGCATTTTTAAAATGCAAATCTCCCCCTCTGTCCGCCCTTCCTGAATAATTTATCAGGCTGCGGAGCCCTTGTTACTGCGTTAATACTCGCCCTCTGGATGTGTTCTCTGCTTTGTTTATACTCGCATTTAAGGTTTTATTTGCTATTTTTGACTTCATTTTAGTATTTCTCTTTTCTAAATTTCTCGTTAGCCCCATCAAAAGGGTCGAGTACAGTTGGGCTGTTTTGTTGTCTCTCCCAGGTTGGGTTTCCAGTAGAGTCCCACTTCGCATTTTGGATGGTCATGCGTGCCGTGCCTTACTGGAGTCTCGGTTATGCTTTGACTGCCAGGTTCAATTTGTTGACAATTTTTGGCTGTGGGTTCTACATCTTTTTCTGGGCTTGCTGTGTATCGACATGGTTCGATTTGTTTCGAAGTTTTCCCTGGCGCCACTTTAGCAATCAGCAATGGATGATCGCGCCAGGGTGTCCCACTTTTTTCGCACCGGGCATTCAACACTAAATGCATTGTGCTCTCGATGTTCTAGTTTTTGTCTGGAGCAGTTCTTAGATGATGGTGCTTCGTTTGCGAGCCATCTGGCACACTTTGTCCTGAGGTGAGGGCCCCCGCAATGGCTGCATATATCCTCCGACTCCGTGCAGAGCCTCTTGCTATGCACAAACCCTAGGCATCTGGTACACTGTATCAACGGGGATTGGTCTTCCACCCGTACCCGCTGGACATTTATGTGCACCATTCCATTTTCCGTCATGCTGCGCCACACCGACGGCGATACCTTTAGGACGACATGGGAAGTGAGTGGGTTTCTTGCCCTCTTTCGATATTTCACTTCCATTCTAATATCATCCTCACTCACCTCCTGCAGTAATTGTTTGTTCTGCGTTCGTAGTGCTTGTATAATAATATCCTCGTCGGTATTATACTGCATGACGTCTTTAATAATTATTAGGGGATCCTTGTTTTTAACCTCCTCCACGTTTAGCTCTTCCCCTTTTTTCTTCAATTTTTCACTTACTTTGCCCAGTTCTTCTTGCGTAGTACAGCCGATGATAATCTTCCGGTCTTTGGCTTTTCTGATCCTATCTATCTTTATTCCCTCTTCTTTAGCGTTTAAGGCTTTTCTCACCCTGTCCAGGACCTGATCCCCGGTCTCCATTTTATCCTTCGAGGTAATGGCCAACGAATGTGTGGCCATATATTTCGGCGGTGTTTTCAGGTTTTTCGCTGCGGTCACGTTTGCGTAGGTCTCCCTACATTCCTTTTCCTTTTCTCCTTGTTCCTTAATTGTCAATCTGAGTTTATCCATTTCTTGTTTGTTTTCCTCTAGTGCTCTCCCATGTTGATCTATCTTCTTAATCAGTATATTTTCGTGCTCAATCCTCTTTTCACATGTACAGTTCTTCCTTTCTTCTTCGTTTTTATTTTCTTCTTCCTGATTACTGTTTCCTGCTCTTTGTTTTCTCTCTGCTTCAGCTTCTTTCACAATTTGATACAGCCTTTCAATGCTTCGCAGTACTTCCATTTTTATCTCTGTCTTGAGATTTCTTGAGTTGTTGAGGTGGAGCTTTGCTTTATTTAGACAAGCTCTCGCCTCGGCTGTTCTGTCTACATATTTCGCAGCTTGTTTTTCAGGTGTCGTCGCGATTTCGACCTCCTGTTCCTGTACTTTGTAGTGTACGGTCCTGCTCCCATTCCCCTATACTTCTCCTAACGTTGGGCTTGCTTTTAGAATTTTTAGGAGATGGTCCAGCCATTTCTCGGTCGGGGGAAGTTGATGCCCGACTACCGTCTTGCGACCTTTTAGTGGGAGTCCGGAAACCGAACATGTCAGGCGGAACGCGTCGTTTGTAAAAGTCTTAAAAAGTCAAACTTAAAATTAAGTAAATAAAATAAAATAAATATAAATATCCTAATGTAGTTAGTTTCAATAGCTAATAGTAGAAATTCACAAATTTATAATTTGCTCTATGTATCGTCCAGAATATTCTAGGCCTATTTGTACAGGAATAGGCTGTCTACAAAAATCTGCTCTGTGTAGAGTTGTCCTATGTAGAGCTGCTCTATGTATAGTCACTCTATATAGAGTCGCTATATATTTAGTCACACTGTGTGAATTTACTTACTTTTAGTCAGTTTTAACTACTTATATACTACAAATCTCTAGGTCAACTAGAGTATCACCTAGCTCTATTAACTAAAATGAAAAATATATTTTTTAGAAAATTTTCAATATGGCGGAAAACAAAATGGCCGCCAACCTCAATGGTCACTAAGCCAATGATAGGGCTAGTCAAATAAGTCAGTCCGTCCGAAACCGCGTAGAAATCGGGCAACTAATTCCGGAGTTATAGCCTTTTTAAGATTTTCAAGATGGCGGCAAATATGGCGGCCGCGTACAAAAGTCTGAATATCTACGTGAGTTATTGTCGTAGAGGGCCGTGCTTCAGGTCGCTGAAAAGGGCTCTCTAAGGGCTATTTAATTCGACAATTTATTTGATTTGACTTTATCGCTCTACGTAGAGTCTGGTTCATATGCTGTTTTACTCTAATTTTTACGGGCACTCCAGCGCCCAAAACCCCGCTCCCCTACGACTTCTCTATCAAAAGTTATTTTGAATTTAAATTATTCAAAATGGCCGCCGGTTCCTGTCGGTTTCCATAAATTTTTCCGCTTTTTGCCCGATTTTGGCCGTGTTTGGGCTCAAAAAATTTGTCTTAATCTATAGTATTTGAATATGTACAATTTATGTTAATATTTCTCTCCCGTGATTTTATAATTTCAAAAAAGCTTAAATATTTTACATTATTTTCTATATTAAATCAGATCGGAATGTTAAAAATCTACAAGATAAATATATAGTTAGGACTATTTTTTGTCTACAATATACTATTTTTAGTTTTAGCCCCCTTCTATTTTAAGGGGTCTATTTTAAATTTACAAAATTTCCCAAAATTTTAAAAATGCAATAACTCCGCCAATTTGGCCCGTCTTTTCACGAAATTTTTACAGTGATTACTTGGCGTTGTCCTCAATAGTACAATATTTTTTAAGTGATAGGTTACCGATCTTAATTTTAAGTTATAAAATTTTTAAATTTTTCCTAATTTTAAAAAGTCTGTATCTTGAACACCACTTAACTGTTTTTCACGGTGAAAACTGTTCTTGGCTTCTCTTCACTGCCGCCACCAGATCCCGTCGTCCGAAATAGCCGCACGCGCACGGTTCACAAAACACGTGCCACGTGGTATGTTGTTTTTTTGATGATTTCTCAGCTGTTGTTCGACGAAAAATTCCAAAACTTTGCCCGAGTGTGGGGGCCACTAATGCCCTTCGGGGCACTAAATAAAAAGTGCAGGTCACCGCGACCAATATCGCAACTGAGGGTCATGGATCACCTCAAGTTTGTTCCCGAATATGATAATTGCGGCTTTCACTGGTTTTTGCCGGTTTAGGCTGCATTGGATGATTTGCGTACCTGGATACTGCTTCATGACGCCAGTACTTCCCACGTAGGGCTCTTGTACCATGGCGACCAGTACGCCGGTGTCCATTGCAGCGCGAACCAGTTCTACTGTGGCAACCTGGGATCTCTGGAGATTGGCTTGGATGAACTTTATTCCGCCTTGGTCGCCCTTAGCAATAACTTATGCGAGAACGCGCATAAGTTATTGCTAAGGGCGACCATATTGCATCCCACTTTTGCCAAATTTTGCAGTCTTTGTTGAAGGCGTTGTGTGCCAAGTCGATGTCCTCTGGATGGGATAGGTTAGGTTAGGTTAGGTTTTTTTTTTTTTTTTTCTCTTGTTCCCCTGGCGTGGGAGGTCAGGGCCCTTTTTAGCCCTTTTGGGTTTGTTCTTTTATAAGGATTTGAATACACTTTACTTAAACTTATTACATTACACCTTTTCCTTTATCTACTTACATACTTACTATGTTTGCTACAGTTTTACAGAACTACTACTTGCTATTACAATTATATTATGTTCCTTAATAATGTTTTTATTGGTTAGGTTAGGTTAGGTTTTTTTTTTTTTTTTTTTTTTTTTTTTGAAGTGGTTCACTTCCAGATAAGGGGACGCTAACGGTATACGTCCCCATATTGTGCTTTGACATTTCATATTTTATGTTATAATGAGCGCTAGGTTTTGTTAAATGATTTTAGGTTTTTAATTATGGTGTCTATATGTTTTATAAATGAGTCTATTGTACTTTCTTTACATATTATTTCTTCTAAGTTGAATGGTTCCTTTCGATGGTTTTCACAGTTTATTTCGTGTTCCAGTCTTGTTTTGCTGTATTTAGGGCATTGTTTTAGGAGATGGTCTATTGTTTGTGTAGAGTTGTTGTCGCAAGGACATTTGTCGTCATTTGTTATTTTAAACTTTTTTAGGTACAGTTTGTGATATCCATGGTTTGTGAGGATCTGTGTAATGCTAAAGGTGGGTTTTATTTCTTTTAGGACTTTGGTTAAGGTTTTATAAGTTGGGGAGCCAGGTTTTTATATATGTGCAGTTGCTTGATATATTATAGTATTTTTCTGATTCTAATTCAAGGGTGGTGCGATGGTATTTTTTAATTAGGGAGATAGGGAATTTGTCGTAGTCAGGAGTTTTGTCGAGTTTTGCC